TATATTTTTTTTTTGGTCTTTTTGAGACAGGGTCTCCCTGTAGCCCCAGCTGACCTGGAACTCACTATGCAGACCAGGCTGGCCTCCAACTCACAGAGATCCGCCTACCTCAGCCTCCCAGGTGTTTGGATTAAAGGTGTGCGCCACCACGCCCAGCCAATACCCAGAAAATTAAAAAAAGAAACCCAGCTTAGCCTGGGCCTTTGGGCACTAACAAGTGTGTTCATCTGTGGTTTATGCTTCAAGTTCTTGAGTTTAGGCCTTGACTTTCCTCAGTGATGGACTGTGACATCTAAGCCAAAAGAAACCTTTCCAGCCCTACACTGCTTTTGGTCAGAATGTTTTACCGTAGCAATAGGAAGGAAACTAGAACAGATGCTTAAACATTAATAGAAGTAATCTAAGTTAATGTTAATTACTGGTAGAGATTTTCTTTGTTTTTTATTTTCCTTTAATTTTAATTTTTAATTTCATTTATTTTATTTGCATGAGTGTATGCCTGTATGTAAGTGCATCTGTGTTGTGCAATGTCCGAGGAGGTCAGATGAGGGTGTCGGATCCCCTGGAACTGGAGTTACAGACAGTTGTTAGCCACGTGAGTGCTGGGAACCAACCCTGGGTCCTCTGCAAGAGCAGCCGGTACTCTTATCCACTGAGCCATCTCTCTAGCCCATTTCTTTTTCTTTTTGATACAAAAAGAAATATATATTAGGGCGGCTTCAAATTTCTTGCATAGCTGTAACTCCTGATCCTTCTGCCTCCACCTCCCAAGTGCTAGGATTATAGGCATGTGCAACCACAGGTGGCTTCCAGAACTATATTTATTTATTTATATTCATTTATTCATTCAGAGACAAGAGTCTCACTGTATAGGCCTGGCTGGCTTGGAACTCCTTATGTAGGCCAGGATGGCCTTGAACTCACAAAGAACCACCTGCCTCTGCCTCTCAAAGGCATGTGCCACCACACCTGGCTTAGAACTCTTAAATTCAATTTTTATGAAGTACAAGATAAAACACAGCAAACTTTTCATTACTCATATATAATTCTTCTGCAATGAAATATAAGTAAAGGGGCTGGGCATGGTGGTATACACCTTTAATCCCAGCACTCAGAAGGCAGAGGCAAGGGGATCAATCTCTGTGACTTAGAGGTCAGCCTGGTTTACACAGTGAGATCCATGCCAGCCAGAGCTACATAGTGAGACCCTATCTAAAAATAAAGAAAGACATACATATATAAAATATAACAGAGTTACAAATGAATTATGTTAATTAAAAATGGACAAATTTGCCAGGCTTGGTGATAGATACTTCAATCTCAGTACTCGGGAGGCAGATCTCTGTGAATCTGAGGCCAACCTGGTCTACGTAGAAAGTTTCAGGCCAACTGGGGCTACAGAGAGACCTTGTTTTAAAAAACAGAAAACAGAAAAACAAGAAAAAGGGAAAATTTAATCCACCAGCCACAAGTAAATCAATAAATATAAAGTGCTTACTTGAGCAAAACTACACACGAAATGGACTACTGGGTAATTTTAAATTCAGAAGTAAGAAAGTCCTATTACAACTTCCAAGGCCAAAGCAATGGGACATATGTCTGCATCTTGTCCTTCAACAGGGTAGACTTCCAAGAGAGGGATACTGTATTCCAATTCCTCCAGAATCTCATCCACCAAGTCCCTCAGAATGTTTGCAATGTTAGAGGAAAAGGGCTCCACCACAGAAACAGTGACTTTGAAACAAGATGATAAGTTCTGGTGTGGTTTACAAGTTACCTAAGATAAATATTATAAACCATGTAATTCCAAATGTACATAACCACAAAGACTCCTTTCTCACATATCAGCTAATTATAATGGTTCTAATTCTTCTAAATTATGGAGTTCCCTAAAAATCAACATATAGAATAATTATGGACAAATATTAAATATCAACAGTTTTCAAACAACTTTTTAAAAAATAGTTATGTGAGTGTATAAATGTAGACAAAATGTGATAAAATGAGTGTATGTATGGGTATCTCTGAGGCCAGAAGAGGGCACTGGATTGCCTAGAGCTAGACAAGAGTTATAGGTGTTTGTGAGCTACCTCACATGGGCGATAGGATTTGAACTATGGTCCTCATGATTGGGCATCAAGTGCTTCTAAGCACTCAAACAACTTTTTTAAAAAATTTTATTATTTTTATTTTATGTGTATATATTTATTGCCTGCATGTAGGTAAGGGCACCCATGTCATGCAATGCCCGCAGAGGTCAGAAGAGGCTATCAGATCCCCTGCAACTGGAGTTGTGGACAGCTGTTAGCTGTCATGTGGGTCCTAGGATTCAAACCTGGGTCTTCTCCAAGAACAACCAGTGTTCTTAACCACTGAGCCATCTCTCCAGCCCCTCAAACAACTTCTTAAAAACATTATTTTCAAGTTTCATGGGAGGAATTTTATATATCCTTCCACATTATTTATTGTATTTTAATTTTGAGTTACTAGGCTTTTGGATTTCATACAACATTATTAATTTTTTTCCTTGAATTTTGCCACAAAGTGTCTTTAGCCAGGCGTGGTGATACATGTCTTTAATGCCAGCACTCAGGAGGCAGAGGCAGGCGTATCTTCTAGTCCACATAGAGAGTTCCAGCCCAGCTGGGGCCACAGGAAGACACTGTCTCAGAAAAAAAAAAATTTTAAAGAAATATTATCTACATGTTATCATTTGTAAAAGACTGTTCAAGTACCAAAAAAAGGACATTAAAAAGTCCTCAGTTTAAAAAAATTTAGCTTCATAAACAATACATAAATATGTATCATAGTGTGTGTATATGTGTGTGTGTGTGTGTTTGTGTGTGTGTGCACAGGTACATTTAACTGTGCATGCACTGTGGAGGCCAAAGGTCTTCTTTTATCCCTCTCCATCTTAGTTTTTGAGACAGAGTCTCACACTGAACCTGGAGCTTGCCAGTTGCCTAGACAGGCTGGTGATCAGTGAGCCACAGGATCCTCCTGTCTCTGTCCCACAAAGCTGGGATTATAGGTGTGTACTGCCATGCCCGAAATTTTCACTAGGATATTGGGAATCCAAACTTAAGTTCTCATGCTTGCCCAACAAGCCCTTTACACATTGACCCATCTCCCCATCCCCAATATATTGTATTGTGTTTGTTAATCCTAATTCACCACAACACACACACACACACACACACACACACACACACACACACACACACCATAGAAAATCTGGGGAACAGGCTATTTTCAAAAGGGAATGGGTGAGAGGCATGCCCAGGAAGATAGGTACTTCAGGAGCACACACTGACATGTTTGAACATACAGGCAAGATTTATATAACTGGGGGGGGGGTAGAACTTTGGGGTAAACTAGTAAGAAACACAGAAAAATAAACCCGTGAATAAGAGTTATTGCTAAGTCTAGGTTGGAAGTTTTTTTTTGGGGGGGGGGAGATTGTTGGGTTTTGTTGTTTTGTTTAGTTTGTTTTAATATTTTATTTATTATTTTTATTTTTATGTGTATGAATGTACAGCCTGCATGTGTGTGAGTGCACCGATGTCGTACAATGCCCTTGGAGATCAGAAGAGGGAGTTGGATCCCCTGGAACTGGAGTTATGGACAGTTGTTAGCCATCATATGGGTGTGGGATTTGAACCTGGGTCCTCTGCAAGAGTGGTCAGTGCTTTTAACCACTGACCCATCTCTCCAGCCTCTGTTTGTTTTTGAGACAGGGTTTCCCTCTAGCCCCTAGTTGGTCTGGAACTCACTATATAGACCAGGCTAGCCTTGATCTCACAGAGATTCACCTGCCTCTGTCTCTGCCTCCCGAGTGCTGGGATTAAAAGCATGTACCAACCACCATGCCCAGATGGGTGGATATTTTTAAATGTCTATAAAAGGAAAATCATGGTATGCTGCACAGTTTATGTATAAAGTGTTCATGTATTCATAATGAGGTCAACTGGATCTAATCAAATAAAAACCCCTACATAAAATTTTAGGGGGCTTAGGAGCACATGAAAAATATGGGTATGAAGTAGAGAACACTGTTGGTGTGTATAAATGAGCCAAATCCCAACTTTCTATGATAAGAGCCCATACGGAAAACTTGAAACAGAACGCAAGAACATCACTAGAAGCTTGTTACTGGGAGATGAAGTAACGCTATTATAAGTAATAATTAAATTGACTGGATTGGCTGCTCCTGAGAAACATAAGAATTAACATCAGGAGAGATGGCTCGGTTAGTAAGTTAGCAAACTGCTTGCCATGCAAGTATGAGCCCTTGAGTTTGATCTCCAGCATCTACATAAAAAGCCAGGTATGGTGGCATACATTCATAATGCCGATACTGGATAGGCAGAAACAGGTAGGTCCCTGAGGCTCCCTAGGCAGCCTACCTACCCTACAGGCAAGCCCCAGGCCAGTGAGAGATCCTGTCTCAAAAAACAAGGTAGGGGTTGGCTGCTCTTGCAAAAGACCTGGGTTCAGTTCCCAGCGCCTGCGTGTTGGTTCACAACCATTTCTAACTCCAGTTTCAGCCCACTCCTCTGGCTTCTGTGGTACTACATGCATGTAGTGTACTTACATACATGCAGGTAAAACACTCATACATATAAATTGAAAATAAATAAAATATATATTTTTAAAAAACAAGCTGGTTGTGGTGGCACATGCCTTTAGTCCCAGTACTTGGGAGGCAGAGGCAGGTGGATCTCTGTGAGTTCAAGGCCAGCCTGTTTTTTTATTTTGATATATCACAGTGAAAGATTTATCGTCCTCTTTTTTTTTTTTTTTTTTTTTTTTTTTTAAAAAAAAAAAAAAAAAAAAAAAAAAAAAAAAAAAAAAAAAAAAACCAAGGTGCATGGCTCCTGAGAACATACCCAATGTCAGTCTCTGACCTGTACACACAAGTACATGAAAACCTGCACACACATGTGAATTCTCTCTCTCTCAGAGAGAGAGAGAGAGAGAGAGAGAGAGAGAGAGAGAGATGTTACCAGGGACTAGACAGTAACTACAGTCTTTTTGGGTTTTTGTTTGTTTGTCTTGTTTTGTTTTGATCTTTTTGAAACAGGGTCTCCCTGTAGCCCCAGCTGGCCTGGAACTCACTATGTAGACCAGGATGGGCTTGACCTTGATTGCACAGAGATCTGCCTGCCTCTACCTCTCTGCTGGGGTTAAAGGTGTGCACCACCATGTCCAGTTTTACTGATTTTTAAAAAAATTATAGCCTTTTATAACAAAGGTATATTTGACTCTACAATCTATATGCTTGTTTAACTTTAGTAAAACATGGAAAAGAACCAATGAGTACACAAAAGGAAAGAAGATAAATTATTGGAGGGGTGATCCTTTATAATAAAAAAAAAGAGGGAGACAAAGTAGTTAGTGGGGGGAAGTTGAGTCACAAATGGAGAAAGGGAGAGAGGAGAAAAAAGAGGGAAAGGGAAAGGTTTTTTTGGGAGGGAGGGAGGGAGGGAGAGAGAGAGAGAGAGAGAATGAATGAATGTGTGTGTATTAGTGTGTTGGTGCTAGGGATCAAACCCAGGGCATTGCCAGTGTTAGGCAAGGGTTCTCTGTTGAGCCACATGCCCAGCCCACACCCACTGAGTTACAATGCTGTCCTAGTTTCATTTCTGTTGCTGTGCAAATTAGGGGAAAAAGGGTTTACTCCATCATAGTGGGGAAGTCAAGGCAGCAGGAGCTTCAAACAGCTGGTCGCATGGCATGCTCCTAGTGCTCAGCTCACTCTCTACAGCTGTACACTCCAGGATCTCCTGCCCAGGGAATGGTGCTGGGCTGGGTCTTCCCACATCAGTTCATCAGTTCACAAAACCAACACCCCCCCCCCCGGCATACACGCCCCCAGGCCAACCTGATGTAGGCAATCTCTCATTGAGACTCCCAGGTGATTTTAGGTTGTGTCACGTTGACAATCAAAACTGACCATCACAAATGTCAACTTAAATGTCTTGTTATTTGTTCAGAAAGCAAGTTGTGACAAAATGGACAGCTAGACAGAATATATAGGTAGCACAAGATTTAAAGCAAAGGAGCAAATGTTACAGGTGATGTTGGGAGACTGGAAATGACCACAAAGCAAAATCTGAGTATTGAGGTAAGTTCCAAGTGACCCTTCCCCTCTTGGGAACTATGATCTAATATAATCAGGAAGATCACATTTCCAGAATCCACTAAGTCCATTAAGTATCTCCAAATCAAAGATTCTCTAGATAAGAAATATAAACAGAGGGGCTGGAGAGATGACTCATCGATTAAGAGCACTGGCTGTTCTTTGCAGAGGACCCGGGTCAATTCTCAGCACCCAGATGGAGGCTAACAACCATCCATAACTCCAGTTCCAGGAGATCTGACACCCTCTTCTGACCTCTGCAGGCATTGTACAATGTGGGTGCACTTACATACTTGCAGACAATACACTCATACACATACAATAATAATAAACAATAAAAAATATAAACAGAAGACTCTGCAAAGGCACACATCTTTATTCCCAGCACTTGGGAGGCAGAGGCAGGTGGATCTCTGTGAGATTGAGGCTACATAGGGAGTTCCAGGCCAGCTATGGCTACAGGGATACCCAAATATAAACAGAATGCTAAAGCAAGGTAACAAAAAATTGGAGTAGGGAGGACATCATATGCTGTTCGTACAAGACTCTAGCATCAATCATGACCCTATCAGCAGGCTAGGGAGGAAACTCAGTTGCTAGAATGCCTGACCAGCATGCATGAAGCCTTGGGCTCA